GCCTCGGTCGACTGGTCCTTGTCTACCACCTTTTTACGTGTTAGTGATGTTAAATGGACCTAAAGTGGCCTGTTGGCGGACTTGTACCGCCACCTGGCAATCGGTACTGAGGTATTCCTTAACGCGTGCACAATCACTTGGGCGGGAAGAAGTTGTATACTGGATACAACAACTTCCGGAACAAGCATTTGCCACGGCCCTCGCTCAGCTTGTTTGACTCGTTTCTTTTTTTGTAATTGTAAAATATTCTTCATGAGGTTACCTGTAAGGCAGGAAGCATACAGTCAAAACTAAATTCGAAGCTTTATTAATTAATCCCGCTCCTCCATACAAAAATTCCAATAAGGCCGCGCCTATGTGGGGTGGTTAGATTGTTCGTCTCTGTTCCAATGTTTCGAAAACAACGTAATAATTCTTCGGCTCCCACCTTGCATACGCCATTTACAGCCCCAAATGGTTCAACGCTCTGTTCTCTGTTGATACATCTTGTTTGGATACGTTCGAGGCTTATAGCACAGTCGCTTTCTGCACCAGTTCCATGCAGAAAATGGGTGATAGAGGAAAGTTTCCTAAAGATATCCAATTCTCGCACATTCATTTTTGAGTCAGAGGTATGTAAGGTTTTTATAAATACTTTTGTAAGATGTATGATTTTGAACAGAACTAAGCCAATGTTGTGCTCTTTTGAAACGTATATTTAGCAATTTATGATATATTTTAGATCGCTAGTGAAATGAGGGTTTGTACTTTCTCATTCTTTTTCAATGAAAAATGCATGATCTCCATTTTGTAAATGTAATAGTAGTGGAGTGCCGTTAGATATAAAAACGGAATTATCTAGGGGAGTTCAAAGGTTTATAGGTCAAACTTGGACAAAAATAACATATAGACCTTTCAATAAATAGTATTTTTGATCTCATATCCTTGAAAATCTTTATTGGACACAATTGGTAAATACAGCTTCTCCAGATTCCGCAATATAAACCGAATGCACTCTACTATGTCAGCTGTATTCATTTCGAACCAGAAGCGTTCCAATAAATGCTTAAAAGCTTTCAAGCTGCAAAGTTCGTATACTCTCGTATACTCTATGTCGCACTTCTTATTGCAGCTTGGCCAATGGCTAACAAGGCTAGAACATGATGTTTTACTTCTGCTAAACTTAGTCTTGCCACTGTCCATTATAGGTGAGAAAAATTTGTCTTTGAGCTGCATCTCAGCATTTATTTATTTTTGCCACTTTAGCATGGTGCATGTTAGAAGTGCAGCTTGCCTTGACGTAACTTGGCACAATAAGCTTGAATGCGACCATCTAATAATGCTAAAGTTTAGTCCACCCCTATTTGGGCTTTGGAAAATTCCATTTGTCATCGAAAAACTTACTTCCGACTTAAAAAGCGGATTTTGTTCGAGATGGTAGACGTGCAAACGTTTTCGAGAATATTATATAGTAGTATGCCTTCAACAATAATTTGAAAGTCCTTCACAGGTGTAATTTTGATCGCTATTTTCGAATATGGCCCCCAAAACAAATGCAACTCCCTATAAGGAGTAAGAGGTCGACAAGTTGACATTTTACGGATATTTTTGACCTTGTCGAAGGAGTATTACGGAAAAACAGAAAAATATCATCAAGAAACAGTATAATGTCAACATGTGTAGTAAGTAATCGCTGGCTCATTGCGCACCTACTCGCTATGAGCGCCACCTATGGCGGAATGACAGATCGACAGATCTCTAAGCAGGCAAAGCATGTAGCTGAAATGTCATGATGTTTAGGCAACACGCACAGCTACTACAAGTTAACACGAAGTAAATGACACTTAGTTCCAAGGCGACATTTGTCCGGGAAAGCTTAAATTACATCATTAAAAATCGATTTAATGTCATGTTTAAGTTAGATGTAAAACGAGTGATGAGATCCGAAGTATAATATGGAACTGATTCTACAGGGTGAGCCAAGAATTGGTTAACATTTAAATCTAATACACCACGCGCGAAGCGCGGGGGGGCTAGTCGCTAGCTCGTTTCTCGGAAATTCAGTCGCAATGGATCGCCTCACGAGGCCGCAACGCGCTTACTGTGTGAAACAATTTTGTTTAAACAACAAAATCCCAGAGCTAAACATGAGAAGCCACTTTACTCTCCTAAAGTAACTGTATGGGCTGCAATTTCAGCAAAAGGAGTCATTGGCCCCTACTTTTTTGAAGATTCTCGCGGCCATTCAGTTACTGTCAATTCTGCTGAGTAGGTGAAAATGTGACGGGAGATCTTGGCACCGATGCTACTGGAATTTGGTGGCTATAATCGTAACACATGGTTTCAAGAAGATGAAGCCACGTGTCACACATCCAACGAGTCCCTGCCGGTGGTCAAAGAAATGTTTCCGGAAAAGCTCATTTCCGGACGAGGCGACATCCCATGGCCACCCAGAATTCCAGATCTGTCCCCACCAGACTTTTTTTATGGGGTTATCTAAAGAGTCGAGTCTACATCAATAAACCAAGTACACCCCGTCAACTAAAAGGAAACATCAACGAAGAGATGTCGGCGATCTCGCAGTCTTTATGCCGACGAGTATTCGAAAACTTCGGTACACGTTTATAAGAGTACAAAAATCGTAACGGTGGTCATTTAGATGATGTAGTTTTCAAGAAATGAAGTCCAACTAATTAGGTTTCTTGTGAATAAACAATTTTTAAAATATGTCAAATGTTTTTATCATACGATTTTAACTAATTCATGGCCCACCCTGTATATGTGACCATCAAACAATGTGAGGCCTCATTTGACGAGTTTCAGTTTTTTCATCCAATTCGCACAATAATAATCTCAACTCCACTGAACTATATCTGAATGCTGTGTAAAACCGAGAAGGGCGTCAAGCAAACAATCTCGTACGCATAAGACTTCGCCTTTTATTTGTTTAGGGGCAGTCGGACTTGAATCTTGTTGAATTTTAAAACAAACGGTCGAGCATTTTCTTCCCGTTCCGAGACTAGAGTGATAATACTAGAACAGTGCATGGGAACCGCTTCTGGTGCTTGGAGAATAAACAGGAGCAACGTCACTAAGTGGCTTTCATGTGGTGCAGAGCAACGCGATGTGGGTGAAGTACTTCACGCTAAAGTCAAGTGTATACGAGGAAAGAGCGTAAAGTTCTCAGAAAACAATTCGGGTTTCTTTGCTACTACAGTATCATAGAGAAGCATGTTTCTGCAACAGACCTACTAAGAGATGATGAGGTCAAGTAGAATGGCATCATGAATGTCTCTCCAGGTTGTGCATAATCAGTTACAGACTTTTAACCAGTAATTTTTGAATTAACCCAGATATCGTTCAGCATTACATAAAGCAGAGCACATAGCATGAAAAATATATTTGATGAATAAATCCCACAAGGCAAGTCTTTAAACGTGACATAAATAAATAATATCTACCACTTGAGACGTTTATTACTCATTTACCATGATACATGGCTTGAGTTTTATTGACTAACATAAATATGTCCTAAAACCTTTGGCTTTAATTTTAACGATCACAAAGTTGTATCGGGTTCCCTTTAGAAACAACAATTTGTCTACTTACTTTACTGTCAGTTGACAATCATTTATTTTACTGTTTTCGCTTTAAGATGTATCAATTAGAAATAAGAAAAAGGATCTACAACTTGGTTGTGCGAGTACCCAAAGCTGAAATCTGCCGAATATTCCAGAATGAAAGCATTTCACGCAGAACCATTTATCGAACAACAGCGGAGTGCGAGCAGGAAATACCATGTCTAAATCTCCCAAAAAGTAGAAGACACGTGCATTTACTGCACAGAGGTCAGAGAGATTGGTGAGAAGGTTAAAAACTCAAGTTGTAATGTCAACAAGGAGACTGGCTCGTCCATACAGATTCCCTTAAGAGTTCGATATCATTGGAATTGAGGAGGGATGGTCTCAAATATCGAAAAGACTTAAGTGCCCCAAATACTCCTTCGTACACCAAGATGCTGTCGTCAATTGAGACGGGTACACTTTGCCAATGGAAAAATTATTATTTTAGAAGACGGAAAGTATTTCACTTTGAGTTATCCTGAAACGAAGCGAAACTACGGATTTTATACTGACAACGTATTGAAATGCCCTGACAATGTTACATACAAACATAAGGCGAAATTTGCAGATGAAATCCTTGTCTGGTGCGCAATTTCTAACGGGAGTGTATCCCAATCTTTTGTGGGAAGAGTGCTCCAGTTCCACTAACATCATGCTAATGACCATATCATGTTTTGGCTAGACCCAGCATCATGCCGTTACTCAAGACATATCCGAAACGGGCTTCTACAACCCAACATACCTACATTTTGTTCCCAAAAACAATAATCCCCAAAACTTGCCGCAGGCTCGCCGAATAAAGGATTTTTGGGATTTGCTGTCTAGGAAGGCTGGGCTGGGAAGCCCAAGGTGAAGAACAATTATGTCCGTGAATTTACGAAAAACTCGGTATAATTCGATAGTATAGTTTAGCTAAGGAACTGAGTTGTAATTTACGATAACTAATTAGTGTTTGAATAAATTTTTTGATTAAAAAAAGAATCTGATAGATATTTTGTGCCAAAGCTTTTAGGACATACGTCACTTAAAAATTCATTGGCCGGGAGTTGATTTTGTACTTGACAATTTGTTGCTTTGCGAGTAGTTTTCATGCCAATGAAAATCAGTATGCGACACAGTTCTCTAATGTCAATATAATTTTGTCTATCGTTTAACTAAGCTCTTTTAACGATACCGTAGCGCCAACACACCCGTTTCAAAATGTGTTCTAAGATGAAGCCATTGCTTTCATCTTTCAAAAATCGATTTACTGATTATCAGTAATAGAGGAATCTGACTAGAAGGATATGGTCATAGCCCTGTAATTTAATCTTGACCACTCGGTCTCAAGTGTTCAAAATGAAGGTTTTTAACTTATTTCTTGGACAGCTGAATAAATGCTCTTTTTTCTGTTTTCAGGAGGAGAGGCCCTTTGGTCCAGCTCCAGATGTAACAAGAAGATTAGGAGCATCAACTACCAACTTAGGAAAACCAGAACTGCACGGCTCGCCACCTTATTATAGATCTAATACCTCAGCAGGCAGTTCTAGTAGCAACTCTACATCATCAAGTGAGTAACCTCTTCTCGTAGTCTCAATTTTTCTGAACTATGCATTATCTATCTTATTACTCATGGTTTAGGTGTTCAGTCATTCCTTTCGACACCAAACTAATTATTTATATGTCAAAATTGCTCCCAAAGGTATCCAAATCTGAATCATTCGAGATTAAGATGTATTCACCTCAGCCACACTTTCAGATCCCTAGGCGCCCATGACTTCAGACACGTGTTCTTTCGAAAATATTTTTTACGGGAGCAAAAAAATTACCGTTGCTACATTGTTGAATTCTACGTAACAGTGATTTTTATAGATTTGTGGAATGTAGAAGACCCATAGAAATATTTCTTAGACTTCTTTCTCCAATTGTTGGGTTAGGTAATGAAAATTTCGCAAGATTAAAAATCCAGTGGTTTCAGATCCGTTGAAAAAATCATGTATGTACTTTTTCTTACGTCATTTTAAGTTCCGTTGGCGAAATAGTGATGTTTCGTCAGAGAAATAGCCAAAAATCACAAAATCCGCCTTTTCCAATTATAGACATTTTTAGAGTAGGTATTATGACTTCACAAACGCAATCTAGTCAATATAGACGGTTTTGAGTCAGCTAAGGGTACCTTTCCTGAACTAAAATGTCAACATTTGAAGAAATCGCGAAAATGTGGATTTTCCTATTTTCACAGTCTCAGGGAAACAAATTAAAATTTTGATTGTGAAACGTATAGGAGTGAAGAAAAACATTTTATGAGGTGTAAGTTTTCAGGTTACCCAACTTGTGCTATCAAAAATTTGAGAAGATCTGTTAAAATTCATGATTTTGTTAAATTCAAATTCAAATTCTTTATTCATGTCATAATACATCAAATATGTTTACATACGTCAATAGATCAAATGAAAATTGCATTAGAATTAAAACAAAGAGACTGCTAATGATCATAAAAAATTACAAACAAGTACACAAGCACTCATAAAAACATAACGCTAACATAACACATTAAGATTTATAGTTAAAATGTATGTCTTAAAAACTCTCTAAACGTGTAAAATGAGTTATTAATAAGAATTTTCTTGATTTGAACTTTAAAATCTTTAGCGATTTTAAGCCGTCTGGAAGTACATTAAAAAATTTGACCGCCCAATAACCAGGTCCATCTTGACACCTTCTCAGTCGCCAATAAAGAGGTACTAGATAGTTCTTATGCCTAGTATTGTGCTCATGGATGTCCCCATGAGTTACATAGTTAGAGTTTCTTTTAACGAACAATAGATTTTCAAAAATATATAAACAAGGCAAAGTAAGGATTCCCAACTTGACAAAGGTATCTCTGCAATCGTCTCTGTAACCCAAACGGCTCACAACCCTAACTGCCCTTCTTTGCAAGGCGAACAGTCTGTGGACCCCCGAAGAATGCCCCCAAGCCAGAATGGCGTAGGATATATGTGAATGGAGATTGGCAAAGTAAGCCATTCTCAATATACACAAGACTCCGTAACACATATATCCCTTTGGTGGCCTTTCCAGCAACACTGTCAACGTGACAGCCCCATCGCAATCTTGGATCCAAAGTAACCCCCAGAAACTTGGCTTCGCCAACCAAATCACTGTCCCCAGGTAGGCTTCGCATGGAGAACACCATTCTCTTTGTCTTATCTTTATTTAGCAACAGCTTATTGGAGCAAAACACAGCTCAGCCTCATCCTCAAAACTGTTAGCGGTGTGATAGACGGTCGTATCATCCGCGAAGAGAGTAATGTTAGTGACTGTGGAAACAACGTAAGAAAGCACCGATATACAGTGGATTTTCTAATTTACGAAATTCTCATTACCTAACCAAAAATTCGAAAAAAACTTCATAAGTATTTATTCTCGAACCCATAAGTTCCACAAATATATAAAAAATCACGGTTGTGTTTGATGTGTATCAGTAATTCTTTCAAAATCTTTTGAGCAAAGCTGCGCCCGTAAAAATTGTTTTTGAGGGCCCCTAGGGACGATCCATCGATCTGAAAATTTCGACTTTTGAATCGATCCGGATTTGGAAACCCTTAGGTGCAATTTTTAAATGTAGAGGGCCTACCACCTTTGTATGTATCTCGGGAATAATGACTCGGGGAGTGACGCCTCAGATACATAAATAATTCCTCAATACAATATTCTCCTGAGCTGACAGTATACATTTTGAGTCAGTACCACAATATATTTTCTCCGCTGCGCTCGTATGGGCCGCAGCAAGCTGGAACCCGTTAAAGTAGGTGACCTAGTTAGGGAGCGTCATGGCCAGATCAACTGGCCAGGGTTGTCATATAAGGGGATTTAGGATTGTTTTTTTTTGAGAAAAATGAAAACTTTGGATATTTTTGGGGTGTTTTACTCCATCTTTAACCAACAAATATATACACTGTCAATTGAGGAGGTGATCTGCAAACCGGAGTTTTTGAAAAATTGGCAAATCTGGGTTAGGCATGTGATCGTATATTTTCAATGGTCCTCTACCCGATAAACCTAATTAAAAACGTCAAACTGCAGTTTTTCCCTTTGTAATAGCTAGTGAATTATTTTGGTGTTCTACAAAGCGCAGTATTTTGTTTCAACTAGGAATAACAAAACGCAATTTATTACTCCATGCTTGGAAAATCATAGCGCAACTTTTCAGATCTTAACTTGCTGATCAAAATTACACATGCACGACAAAACGCAGTATTTCTTTGAATAAGTGGGGGGATATTCAGACCGGCTGTGAATAGTTCAGTTGTTTACCGACAGTTACGAAGTGTGCATGTTATACTTTTGCGATCTGTTGCTGCTAAATTACGCAATATTTCGAAATTAAAAATGGATGATAGTAGTCTAGTGCTAGTTAGTGATGCATCTGATGGTTCGAGAAAAAGAAAACGAACTATCTCTAAACGAGAAAGGGCAACAAAAATGCGGTAAGTTTGAATATAAAGGCAAGAGAGCGGAGTTGTTTTATATTTTTTATCGTTTTAGATACATGAATCATATGCCTAATGCTGAAGATTTTGAAGTGAAGTGCAAGCATTTAAAAACTGCACTCCAGTGTCATGATTTTTCTACCAGTAAAAACGATAATAGATAATAAAATAGCCCACTTGGTTAAAGTTAAGCATCCTAAAAGGAAAAAAAGTGAAAAAACATTGACAAATAAAGGCCAATCAATTAGGCTGGATTATTTTTTAAGAAATAAAATAGAGGCTGTTAGTGTGTCAAAAGACGTTTTTGGCTGCTTTGAAGATCTCACAACGGAATATCCTTACTATCGGAAAAAAGAAGGCAGAAGGGCAGATAATTGAGAGAAGGGGAGGTGATCGGAGAAGCAAAAAATACGAGGAGCAGAAAAACAGTGTTAAAAAATTCATTGGGAATTTACATGCAAGTGAAAGTCATTACAATCGTAAGAAATCGAAGAGACTTTATCTTTCATCTGACTTGAATATGGCGAAACTATCAAAACTTTATAATAACTCTGTAGAGCTGAATTTAAAAGTCTCGCGTCGTTATTTTTATAATATTTTTGTACGCTATTTCAATCTCGGCTTTGGGAATCCCGCAAAAGATGTATGTAGTCTATGTATCCGTCTGAAAAATACAATTAGATCCACAAAGAATGCAGCTATGAAAGGAAACTCTATTACTGAGCTGAGAATTCATAAATTGAGAGCTAAACAATTCCACCTTTTTTTGAAAGCAATTCCGGAGAACAGCTTCACAGTATGCTTTGACTTGCAGCAAGTCCAAGCGTTGCCTAAAAGAACATAGGGGAAGCATTTTATTTACGTCAACTTGCTCTATACAACTTTTGCATAACAGAACCTAGTACAAGACATCCTTACTTTTATACTTGGACAGAGAATCAAGCGAAAAGGGGACCGAATGAGATAGGATCAGCCATATACCATTTCTTGACAAATCGCGAGTTTCCAGATGGTTATAAATTAGTTAGACTATTCGCCGATGGATGCGGAGGACAAAATAAAAATTCTTTTATGATCCACATGTTGATGTTTTGGCTTTCCACTAAGGCACCTAAACATATTGAAGAGGTGGTCCTGTATTTTCCGGTGAGAGGTCATTCTTATCTATCTGCAGACAGAGTATTCGGTCGGATATAGAAGATCTGCAGAAAGCGGTCTGAAATTACTAAGAATACTGGAATATCTTTGGAGAAGTTGGGAATGTTAAAGTGATGGGACAAGATTGGAACTTGTTGGATTGGAAGGATTTTTCTAGTACAAAATTCACGAAAATCAGTGGTATACAAGAAGTAAAGCGAGTTCATTTGAAAAGGGTTCGTGAAAAGTGTTTGACAAAATTAGAAGTCTTCTACAGAACAGACAACGATACAAAGTATCAGAACTACTTGAAACGAGGTGCGAAATTAGAAAATTACCAACCTAAGCAAATCGAACTGCGCAATAGCATTAAAAAAATTAAGCTTGAGAACGTTGAAACCTTATTAAAAAAGTATCAAGAAGACTGGGAAGATAATGAAACCTTCGCTTGGTACTCGAAACTACTAAATGAAAGAAGAGATCCAACAGGAGACGAGGAAGAAACATGCCCGGAATCCGACGATGTAGATCCAGAGTTGTGTGATTGTGCTGAGGAAGACATTGGCTTGAAAATATAATTATATAACTTTCCGTTTCATTTATGTTTCATATGAATAGATTGGTTTTTCAAAACGCAGTTTTAATAGATGTGGAAAATCAAAATGCGGTTTTTTGTTTGTTTTTTTGTGTTAGCCAGCAAACGATAAGGACCGGATTTCAGCAGGTTAGTGTAGCCATTTCGTTGTCTCTGAAATTTGAGGTGGTATGTTTGGCTTAGCATTCTACTAATCCATTTACGCACCTTAAAAAAACGTCTTTATCTCAAAACGTTGAAATTTCAAAGACTGCAGTTTGCAGATCACCTCCTCAATTGTAAGTTGGTAGACATGTAAACATAGTCATACACGAAAAAAAAAATTCACTAACGCTCTAAAAATGAATATTTCAGCCGCAGTAAAGAATCAACGTTGGCAGATTTTGGTTCTTGACATCCTTTACGATCGGTTACGATGCCTAGAGTACGGAGACCTGTACGATTTCGTCAACTTAGTGAGTTTGATAGGGGCCGTATAGTGGGACTTCGGGAAGCTGGACTTTCTTTTCGGGCAATTGCAGTTAGAGTGCAAAGAAGTGTAGACACTGTGGTTAGGTGTTGTCAGGCATGGCTTCGAGAAGGCCGTACGCAAAGAGCAAGGGGCACTGGACGCCGCCGTAGAACAACAGACCGTGAAGACCTATTGGCATGCGAAGTGTTTACCGACGAATGAGAAGTTTTGGCTTGTTTTCATACCGGCCACACTGGGTCCTCCCTTTAACTCGAGAACACCGACGTAATCGCCTTGAGTGGTGCAGACAACGGTCACTCTGGGATCAGGAACAGTATTGTCTTTAGTGACGAGTCTCGATTTTGTTTAGGCATGCACGATGGTCGTGCCAGGGTTAGAAGGCGACATGGTGAAAGGAGGAATCCACAGTTTTTTGTTGAAAGACATGTTCATCACACTGTTGGAGTTATGGTTTGGGGTGCTTTTAGCTTATGGTTATGGTCACCTTTAATCTTCACCAGAGGTAACATGAACGCGCAGCGTTATAACCACGAAGTTCTAGAACCCCATCTTTCGCCCTATCTTGACACCCTGGCAGATCCAACTTTCCAACAAGATAATGCCCGACCACATGTTGCAAGAGTCACAATATACTTCTTTCAACATAATGATGTCACATTGTTACCATGGCCACCAATATCTCCCGACTTATCCCCAATTGAGCACGTATGGGATATGATGGGTAGGAAGTTGCTCAATTTGCAACGTCCTCCTCAGACACTAGAAGCACTTCGAGAGGATTTGGTGGTTGCCTGGAATGAGATACCATAGGAGGACATTGACCACCTGATCAGAAGCATGCCTAGGCGCGTTGAAGAGTGCGTAGCACATCAGGGTGCATCCACACATTATTAAAGGTCAAAGGGCTTTAAAGCAGTGCAATCATTTTGAAATTTTTATCATTTACTTATTATGCTTCATTAAGTACAATTAAGTACAAAATTTTATTAAAATAAAACCATTTAAACTGGGTGTTCGGATTTATATGTCACTTAGTATACATTGCATGACTCTCTAGTCAAACGTTGTGTATTTAGCGAGTGACGAGTATACTGTTGTAGCCGAAATCATCAAGGAATTCCGGTGGCATAGCTACCGAATGTCAGCCCAGAACAAAATAAACCCGCACTATAGGAAAGCACCTGTGTCAGAATTATTGTTGAGGTACCAATCCCTACTTTTTCCAATGTAACAACACTGTGCCACATTTTGAGAGCGACTGTCTAAACCGTAGGCATTAAAAAATGATGTTTCATTAGTGAACGTTATGCCGTTTTTTGGCTCTGAAAGCACCTGTTAATTGACGCTTGTAGCCCATAATTTTCCCTCCGTTTTTTCCTGTTGCCAATTAATGGACGAACGACCGTTAGTGATTTGTGTATCAATTACCGTGAAGAATGAGTAAGAATTTAGGGGGAACACGTTCAACCGGGATGAGGTGAAATTAAGAGAAATAAGATTGTTTTGAGGAGAAAATATTTCTAAAATAAACGCGTAAATGATTCCATACATTTCTTGTTTTTTGTTTAAGCGATAAAACTGTTGAAGCGTCCCATCATTACCTGAAAATCTACTACAAAAGAGCTTACCACGAAAATAAATCATTATCAATCATATGCTTAGATGAATTTTTCTTCAAACAGACAAGGTTCAAAAACGCGATTTTTCCGTTTGATCAAAAATTCACAAATTCATATCTTTTTATGGATAAATATAAATTGAAGCTGAAATATGCTTATGGATTACGACGTCATTACATATAGCTGAAAGAGGCAAAAGGGCCAAAAATAATCCGCTATCGGCCGAATTATATACGGAAGCACCAAAGGACAAGTAGGCCGATGGCTTGGAAAGTGAGAATTACTTTGATTAAACTTGACGACCGGAATTTCCTAGCAAGATTTCGTCTTACAAAAAGGACTGTAGAAACAGGATTATTCTCTTCCCAGGAAACTGAACAACTTTTTGTTCTGTATTATGATTTTGTTTTCCCTGTCCTACTGTATTTCTACTAACAACATTTCCTCGTCTTTGGAGAAATTTTTAGCCCTTTTCTTGATGTTTCCTTTCTCCATGTTGGAACAGTTTTTTATCAATTTGGTAAACTCAAGCCGTATTTTCTTCTCGACTGCTGAAGAACTTTATTTTTGGGTCGTGGATTATAGAATGCTAAAAAAGGTGACAAACACGATATTTAGAAGATATCTACAAATCACTTCTATAATCCCGTCTAGAGAACCTACAACTAAACAAGCCATGTTTGAAAAACCTTACCTTGCTTGACTAAGGCTTTACTCACATTTCGACTACTTTATAAAGTATTATTTAAAAAAGCCACGCTGTCATGTATGACACGTATGACGGATTGACACAAGACACAGATGCCGAGTACAAAATGGCGATATCCATGAACCATAGATACAGGGTTCGAACATAAATATACTGTGAACCTCTGGTAAGTTAACTGGCGCTATGAAAATACTTGAAAAATGCATTTGCGGGCAACTACAATCCAGCTTCCTGGTTAAAGTTAAATAACCAGAAAGTTAACTTGCGACCGATCCTAAGGAGGATCCCAATGGTTTGGCAACCTACATTGAAATACATCGAAAATTTCAAAAAATATGGCTGGGATAGGAAAATTTCGCCCACTTACTAGCGCCATAAGGTTGTAACTAGACAAAGATTTCAATTCCTAGTCATCTGTTCACGTCAATAGATGTCAAAACGTAATGAACTCGTCAATATGGATTACCTGTCTAACTAATATGACTTTTCTTTTGACAGTGTATCTCCAACCACTCAAGCTCCGCCTAACAGAATCAAAATTGGACATCGGTACCATTGTCTGATGATCTGACAGATTGGACCAAATCAAATCACATTTGCGTGAACGTGTGTGAATTACTTTTCTATTGATATC